TACGTATGCATGTATGTATGTATGTAGGTAGGTAGGTAGGTAGGTAGGTAGGTAGGTAGGTAGGTAGGTAGGTAGGTACGTGTACGTGTACATATATGATATGTACGCAGGTGCATGCGTGTGTGTGTGTGTGTGTATGTACGTCTGTACGTGTGTTGTGTGCGCTCGTGCGGATCCTGCCTGGTGCTGATGAAAACAATGGAGGATTGGAGCAGTGCTGGCAATACTCGCAAAAAGCGATGGTCATAGTAGCGGAAACCGCGCAAATTACCAGCTTTTCGGTGCTTGCTAGTTCTCATTTCTTTAAGTTCCCAACAACAAGACTAATACTCCGCAGTATGCAATCCTGGGAATGTGCCCTACAGAGCCCAAACGATGCCACCGCGAAAATTTCAGGTTTCTTGCTACACTTCACTGCAATTGAGGGCGTACAAAACTACTAATCCGTGCGGCATAAGGATTCTAAAGGATGTGGGTTCGGGCCTTGGGAGCCTGTATCCCGTAAGAAAGACCGCTTCGGGAATCAAGGGGTATCCTGGTCCAGCCATGCTAAGCTGTCTTGCAACTCCCTCCCACAGCCTCAGCCACAGGGCCTTGCGCGCCGACTGCAGAACTGCCGTTGCTACTGCTGCAGGAGCTGCTGCAGCTGCTGCTGCTGCTGCTGCTGCTGATGCTGCTGCTGCTACTGCCGCTGGCGCTCGAATCTTCCTGCCGACATATTCAGGCATCGGGCACCACCGCTGCTAGAACTGGGAAGTCCAATGTGGACGATGGTTCAGGGAATTATGTACATACATTTGAGGACAGACAGGACACGTCACGCAGCAGTTGTCGTCGGTCGTGGAAGCCTCAAAAGCCTGACAGAACCTCTACCCAGTTGATCTTGAGAGCCCTCGCTGCTCGAACACAACCGGGCCCGATGTACCTAGAACTGTCATCTGAAACCTTTGGATATATGTTGTGTGTGTAATTGAGTATAGATGCAGATATCAAAAAAAATTAGTACAAGTAGCATATATACACACATATGTAGAGTAGAAAGGGAAGAGGAGAGAGAAGGAGGGAGAGGAAGAGCGAAAGAGAGGGAGAGAGAGAGAAGGAGGGAAAGAGAGAGAGAGAGAGAACCCTAAACCCTAAACCGAAAAAATTAGAAAGTAACAACTATCGCAGCAAGCCCTGCCTTCTTTCTGCTTGCTCGTCGCGCTTTGGGCTTGCTGCTGCCTGCACAGATGTTTTGGGGATTCAGGCTCAGGCTCTGGTGATGTGAAGGCTGTGGAGGTGCACGTCAATTGTTCCGTACATAATGACCCCTAAACCCTGAACCCTAAACCCTAAGCCTCTTATTTCAGAACTCTGTGAGTTTGGGGAGGTATCTGGTCAAGACTAGAATGCGAGTGATATAGTGAAGAAGATGGTGTGTTTATGGCGATGATGATGTTGATGCTGATGACACTGACCATCACACTGCCGCTACAAGGGTGCCGCAAATGACGATGATCATGGTGAGGATGATGATGACGATATCGATGTTGTTGATGACCCCGATGTGCTGATGATGATGATGATGATGATGATGGTGATGATGACGGCGGTGATGATAATGATGATGGTGGTGACGATAGAAGTGATCATAGAAAGGACGGCTAGGCTAACCGTGACGGATGAGGATGAGGATCAGGACCAGGGCTCTGACGAGGATGGGGATGCAGATTGCGAGGCATGCGACGACGACGATGATTGCTATTATGATGATGACGAGGGTGAAGATGATAATGATGATGAGGAGGAGGATCCGGATAATGATGGTGATGATGATGATGTTGATGGTTATGGTGATGATGATGGTGATGACGATGACGATGATGATGATGGTGATGATGATGATGATGGTGATGATGACGATGATGATGGTGATGATCATGATGATGATCAAGATGATGATCATCATGATGATGGAGATGGTGGTGATGATGGTGATGGTGATGATGGTGATGATGGTGATGATGATGATGATGGTCATGATGATGATGATGATCATCATGATGATGGTGATGGTGATGATGATTGTGATGATGATGATGATGATGATGATGGTGGTGATGGTGATGATTACGATGATGATGACGACCTCAGTTCTGCAGCTGATTGGCATGAGCACCTGCCCAGACAGGCAAGGAAGTTCCCTTCTTGCACAAGAGGTCCAGCAGAGCATCAATGGTTAGGCTACGAGGCCTGAGTAGTCCACCTCAGTTCAGGATGCACATCTTTTCGCCGTAGCCTTTGCGGATGGAGGCCCGTAGGGGCGACCTCCAACTTGTGTTCTCAGCCTCGAAATGTTTTGTAGCCAGTGCATGTTGGGATGTACTGCTCAATCTCGTTGCAGACTGTGCTCTGTGCCAACAGCACACATGGAAAGGACCTCGTCGCTGTGCCTCCATGCTCACGGTACTGCCGCTTGGATGGGAGTCCCAGCTTACTCAGGTCAGACGGCGATGTGCTCAACGCACGTGCTACGGCGGTGTGCCTTTGTAACGCATTTGCTGCTTCTGGTCTCGGCACCCTCAATAAAGTGCCCGCGGATCGCAGTGAACTGGGTGCTTCTGAAGTACAACTTCTTACAGCAATGTCGCTGAGTGCTAATGTCGGGTATTTTTTCTGCGCGTGAATGTAGTGAGGACCAACTGGCTGGAGAGGGCAACGCTTGTTGCGGCTACGGCACGGGTGCTTGTTTCTCTTTAGCTGCACGCCTCTTGCGTTCATGATTCCCTCATGTCTAAGACATTTCAGCTGCTGCTGTCACGAATGGCCGTCTGGTTAGCAATAGCCAGCCAAAAACAGGCCACGTATGGACGACTTCGGGCGTTCACGCTGCGAGAGAGAATCATGATGATGATGATGATGATGATCATGGTGGTGATGATGATGATGACGACGATGATGATGACGATGATGGTGATGATGATGATGATGATGATGAAGATGACGATGCATGATGCATGATTGCGATGATGATGGTGATGGTGATGGTGATGATGGTGATGGTGATGATGGTGATGGTGATGATGGTGATGGTGATGATGGTGATGATGGTGGTGATGGTGGTGATGGTAAAGATGATGGTGATGATGATGATGATGATGATGACCATGATGGTGATGATGATGATGATGATGACCATGATGGTGATGATGATGAAGAAGATGAAGAAGATGATGAGGAAAATGATGATGATCATCATCATCATTGCATCGAAGCCGCGTCACGGGTGGGTGGGGGTGGGATGTAGACAGACTTGTGCTATATGCACCTACATGGCAAAACGCACCTCAATCCGAAATCGATTGCGATGCCAACCCCTTCACCCCCAGATGAGCCTGCAAGCTTCTTGGCTCTCTTCCGTTTCTTCGCCTTCTTCTTCTGCCTCCTCTCCTCCTTCAACATCTTCTTCAACTTTCTTTTCTCCTTAAAATCCTTGAACTTCTTCAAGAGCTTCTTCTCATCAGCAGTCTTGGGCTGCGTTGCGGGAAGACTCGGGATCTTCGTCCTTTTCTCCTTGCAACGTCCGTAGCAGGGCCCGAAAATCAGACGAAGCTGCTTAGGGTTCGGGGTTTAGGGTTC